TTGGATGATCCGTGATGACATCATGATTAGTCTACATTCCTACCCTCACCTATGGTCATGAACTCTGGGTAGTGACTGAAAGAATGAGATCATGGATACAGGCGGTTGAAATGAGTTTTCTCAGCAGGGTATTTGGACTCTCCCTTACAGATAGAATGAGAAGTTCAGTTATCCGGGAGAGACTAAGAGTGGAACCGCTGCTCCTCCACATCGAGAGGAGACTGTTGAGGTAGTTTGGATATCTGAGAATGCTTCCTGGGTGCCACCCTAGGGAGATGCTTCGGGCATGTCTGACTGGGAGGAGACCCCGGGGAAGACCCAGGATAAGCTGGAGAGACTAGGTCTCTTGGTTGGCCTGGGAACACCTTGGAGTCAGGTTTACTTGTGGTTCCTAGAATTTACAAAAACAGAATGGGAGGCAGATCTTTTAGTTATCAGGCTCCTCTCTTGTGGAACCAACTGCCAATCTCTGTCCGTGAGGCTGACACATTATCCAGTTTTAAAACTAGGCTTTAGACTTTCCTTTTTGCTAAATCCTATAGTTAGGGTCAGCTTGGGTTTCCTGAGCTGTCCCTTAGTTATGCTGCTATAGGCTTAGACTGCTGGAAGACAAACTGACCACACTTTTCACTCTGCTACTGTCTTTACTTACTCTTCTCAACCTGTTTTGTATTTGTAATTATTTTTTCTATCCTTAACGTTTTTTTTTGTCTTTCAGATACACCTGGACCTACCATTCTGTGTTCGTCTGTCTCTCCTCCCTGTCCTCTCATCCAGCCGGTCAAAGCAGATGGCCGCTTGTCCTGAGCCTGGTTCTGCTGGAGGTTTCTTCCTTTTAAAAGGGAGTTTTTCCTTTCCACTGTTGCCACTATGCTTGCTCAGGACGGGAGAATGCATCGAAGCCAAGATTCATCTTGTCTGCTGGATTCCTTAGATAGAGAACTTTACTAATTGGCTTTTATGTATGTGAATCCAAAAAAGTTCAATCTGGTCCTCTGGACATTCAAAAAAAAAAAAAAAAAAAAAAAAAAAAAAAATAGAAACGTTTCGTCTCTCATCCAAGAGACTCACCCAGCCGGAGACAGAGATTCTTGCCAGGGGACTGAACTTTGCGGTTGCACCAAGTAGAATTCCTCTGGTGGAGATGATCACAGCCACAGAATCAGCCATCCGCAACAACAAAATGAAAGAGGGTGAAGCAGAACAGCTCAGAATCAAAGTTTCATCCTGCCTCAGCAATGCCAAACCACCACCTTCCAACATCAGTAGAGAGGAGAGGGATGCACTCACCACTCTTAGCAAGGACAAAAACATCATCATTCTCCCAGCAGACAAAGGAAGGTGCACAGTGATTTTGAACCAGAAAGACTATCATGAGAAAGTTATGACACTCCTTAGTGACTTAACCACTTATGAACCTCTGAAAAGAGATCCAGGAAGTGGTTACAAGAAGAAGTTAATAGATTGCCTGAAAAATTTTGGAGCAGGACAAGGCTATTGACCGTATTCTGTACCACAGACTGTACCCAGGGGAGGCCACACCTAGTCTGTATGGTTTACCTAAAATCCACAAACAAGGTGTACCTTTAAGACCAATCGTTAGCATGATTAACTCTGTCACTTACAATGTTTCCAAATATCTGGCGTCTGTACTCATCCCTTTAGTTGGCAGCTCAGAACACCACATACAGAACACCATGGACTTTGTGGACAAGGTGAGGGATGTCATCATGGAGACTGATGAAACAATGGTCTCTTTTGATGTCACATCACTCTTTACATGCATTCCTGTTGATGATGCAGTAGAGGTGGTCAGTTTAAGATTAAAATCAGACACCACTCTGAGCAGCAGGACCACGCTTTCCACAGAACAACTGTGTCAACTCTTGAAACTGTGCCTGCAGTCAACCTACTTCACATATGGGGAGCAATATTATAGGCAGAAACATGGGTGTGCTATGGGGTCTCCAGTTTCTCCTATTGTTGCCAACCTGTACATGGAGGAGGTAGAAAAGAGAGCCTTGGCGTCCTTTTCAGGGACACCACCAAGTCATTGGTTCAGGTATGTTGACGACACCTGGGTTAAAATCAAATCTTTGGAAGTCCAACATTTTACTGACCACATCAACTCTGTGGATAAATACATCAAGTTCGCACGAGAAGATGTAAAAAATGGCAAGTTGGCTTTCTTGGACTGTGAGGTCTCAGTCTCTGATAGAGGACATTTGCAAACCGAGGTGTACCGCAAACCCGCCCACACAGACCAGTATTTGCAGTTTGACTCCCATCACCCTTTGGAGCACAAGTTAGGAGTCATCAGGACTCTGTATCACAGAGCAGACAGCATCCCCACTAACTC